GCTCTGGATTTGATGAGTATGAAGAGAAGAGATAGCAAGCTGAATATCTGTTTCATTTGAAGGCATTTGGAATATATTGCGTAGAGTGGTTGTGTATAGAGTTAAACCGTGTGCGCAAACTTGGTGGGGTGGCCAACTCGCTTATCCAGCACGTTATGTGTGACTGTATTTCATACTTTTAACGGCCGTAAAATTTCACATGCAAAAGGAAGGTGCAGCTGGTCATGTCTCCACCAGGGACAGGGATTATAATTACGGAGAAAGTTTAAAAACAACAACAACAACAACAACAACAACATGGAAATTTACGGTATTGACAACACATTGGTACAGAAACGTGCTTGGCAATACATTGTTTGCGTCATCTACGGAAAATGAATATTATGCAAAATTTGGCCGAGTGCCTTTTTTTTAGTAGCGTTTGTTTTTTGTAAGACCGATCGCATCGGCGGAGTAATGATTTTCCGATCGATCCATCTACTACAACACGAAGAAAGGGTTCACGTGCACGTGTACAGTATATGAACAACAAACTGAAACACACAAAAGAAACACAAAGCAGCCATTATTAATTCTGCTGCTTTTCTTTTTTTGCACGTAGAATTCTTTGGTGGTACGCGCAACGAGAAGTACGTCAGTTGTACCGTACTATGGCATTCAAAGAAGGTACTACATGCGCAGGTACACGGTAAAGCACAGGCAATCTACAAGGCGCCATGTGACGTTGCAAAAAGACGGGGAAGCGCTGGTAGCGGGCAGAAAGGAAGAAAGAAAATGTCAAGACTGCATCTTGAGGACCACTTTGGCGCCGTTGTCTTTGTGAAGGAGTCAGTACCTGGTTTCACATGTATCGAAATGCAACACGACTCACCACCCATGAGGTCCGCATAAACATTTCCACTTTCGGTCATTAAGCCAGCGCCTGCTTTGTTGTTAGCCGGAACTTGGGAAAAAAAAAGAGACGATATTTTTGCACCGCCACAGCAAAAAGAAACATGCATACCTGAAAACTGGAGCTGGTACGAGTCACCGTCTTTGTTGGCAACGACATCGTATATCGGGGTTGCCGTGTCGGCTTTGAACCACCATACTTTCTTTGGGGAGAAGCTGCGGTCTTCGGCCAAAGCTCGGGCAAGGACATGGCCGTCGCACTGAAGACGCTTGTTCTTGAGCTCGAAGACGGCAGGCTCCGTGCCAGTGGATGCATGGGTCTGGTCTTGGGCGTCCGAGGCGGGCTTGGAGATGGGACTGCCGTCGATTTCGATGGAGAAGGGGGCGGGGAGCGAGTCCATTGCTTTTGCAGCGTAAAGATGCAGTGAGATCAGAATCAGGCAGAGTAGTCCGACGACCCAAATTAACGTGCGGCGCTGCTTTGCTTCGGGGTGCATTCGTTGGGCGTTTACTAGTAGTGGATGGTGGGTTGGCGGGGGAGGCGACTTTCCTGCAACAAGCTCGTATGCTACCTACTGCTACTCTATAGGAGATCGAGACGATGGAACAGCGCAGGTACGGACAAATGCTGGATGCGGCTGAAGACAGTGCTGACGCCTGCATGCGACGGTTATGTTCCCCAGAGAAGCCAATGCAAGTGATGAGACGCGATGGCCATGCCAAAAAGCAATAGACAGCCAGCTGATGTGCAGTGACGTTATCGAAGGGCGTAAGTAAAACGTCGTACCGCCTGCCGCCTGCCGGGTCTCGGCGCTGTCAGGGCAATGTGTTTTGCCGCAAGGATTGTTCTACGAATGTGCATACAGACGTGGATGTGGTAGTAGAGGCTTGAATCATCATAGTACTACTACTTGGGATGTTCGAGCAATGGGGCATGGGGGTTAGTAGGCGCTGTTGCGATGATCAGTGCTGCGTTGGGGGTGTATCCCCGGCTCACGCGCCCACTGCCAAGCCGCGAGGCTCCGCCCTCTACTCTGCTCCCACCGTCCTCCTGCCTCTCCTGGCTCCCATCCGGCCACCTCAACCTCGCCATCGCTCCCAATCAGCCCTGCAATCTTGTGCACCTCCGAACAACGGCCATCTGGATCCGGCAACTGCCAAGAACCAGGCTGCTCGCCAGCGGGCCCTGCAAGCGAATCCCTTGTGGCAGGTCGTTTCTGCCTTGGTTTTGATTTGGGGCATACAAAGCCCGTAGGCCACTCGAGTCCCCTGCCAGCATGTCGGCCAATATACAGCTTGCATGGTGGTTCGTCCATGGACAAATGTCACAGAACCCCCGCTAATGCTTTTTCTTCGGTATCCGCGCCTGATGTGGCAAATCCTCGCGTTGCAGCTGGCGCAAACTAGACGTCCCCAGCACGATTCAGCCTGTTGCACAGCAAGATAACATTGCAGCAGCGACTAAATGCGCCCACCAACCCTCGTTGGAGATCGCCTAGACGGTGCCTTACTGTGTCGGGATGTTGAAATGGGAATACGAACTACGTACTCCCTTGGCAGGCAATGCAAAATGCCCATCTCCTGCTCTCTCGGGCACAGCGTAGCATTGGAGCGCTACTGCTATCCGGCAGCTGTAATTACAGCCAGCTGGCATGCTGCAAATTGCCAGTGCCAGACTCGCCCTGACACCATGTAGACTACTGTACGCAGCTGTGGTCTACCAGCTGTGGCAGAAAAGCAACAACGACGCCCGGAGACGCACGGCGTGCAGGCTGCAACCGTGACGCACAACACGCCCGTGACCCTAGCACTCGGGAGCAACCGCTGGATCAGCTGCCTCTTTTGGCCTCGACGCATGGAATCCATTGGGAAAAGCTTAAACCGCGCGTAGATAAGGCAGCTGCTAGGCTCGGGGTAATTGGTCTCCACTGCTTGATCTAAGGCACACGGCGGACTACAGGTTAAGACTTTGCCAAGCCATAATAGGTCCCAAACTGGAAGGACAAATCGTACTCCTAGTAGATCAGTCTTGGTATACCCTAAAGCACGCCATGACAAGGTCGGCCTTCTACCATCTACACAACCATTGGAGTGTCCATGACCGACAACGACATTCACTATAAGTATCCAGCAATCTGCCCTCTGTAATCATCATCAGCCAGCTCATCCAGTCGCTTGTCTCTTCAAACCATTCCATCGCTTCTCTCCAACAGTCGCTGCCTTTGCAAAGCCCATCATTCACCATGCGTTTCCAGTCTATGATCACTGCTGCGCTTCCTGCGCTCGTCCTCTCCGCTCCTACTCCCCAGTGGGATGATGTTCCTGAGGACTCCATTGTTGGTGGAACCACCGCTGCTGCCGGCGAGTACCCCTTCATCGTCTCTATCCAGCTTGGCGGTCGCCACAACTGCGGTGGTACCCTCATCAACGGCAACACCGTTGTCACTGCTGCCCACTGCTCCGTCAGCAGCGCCATTGGCGGCTCCATCAACAACGTCGCTGTCCGCGTCGGCTCCTTGGTAAGTTCACTCATCTGATACAGTACTTTATGCACTTGGCAAAGGACAAAGAAACTAACACAAGTTCTAAACAGAGCGCCAACTCTGGTGGCCAAGTCATCAAGGTCTCCAAAATCATCATCCACCCCAGCTACCAGGCAAGCACCTCCAACAACGACATTGCCATCTGGAAGCTTTCCAGCACCGTCACTGCCGGTGGCAACATCGGCTTTGCTTCCCTCGCCGCCTCTGGCTCTGATCCCGCCAGCGGATCCACCACCTCCGTTGCTGGATGGGGAGCTACCCGTGAGGGTGGCGGCGCCAACAACGCTCTCCTCAAGGTCAGCGTCCCCATTGTTGCCCGCTCCACCTGCGTGTCCAACTACAACGCCGTCGGTCTCACCGTCACCACCAACATGGTCTGCGCTGGTGTCACTGCTGGTGGCCGCGACTCTTGCCAGGGCGACTCTGGCGGCCCTCTCGTCGACGCCAACAAGACCCTCATCGGCGTCGTCTCCTGGGGAACCGGCTGCGCTCGCCCCAACCTCCCCGGTGTCTACTCCCGCGTCGGCACCCTCCGCAGCTTCATCGACCAGAACGCTTAAGCGCGTACATCTTGAAAGCGAGTTGGATATGATTTGGAAACGGTCGACTTTGGATATGAAAAGAGCAATGGCTTTGATGAGTATGGTATGGGGGAGACCCTGAAGTTGGGAGGGAAAACGGTGATGATGGACTTTGCTTTTTTACTTTACCTCTTCTCCCTCCTTAATTTCGGTGACGGCATCTTGTAAATAGGTCTAGCCTCCCACGATTATTTTTTGTCTGTACCTTATTTTTTTCCTTTGTGTAGCTAGGAAATCGCATTGTGTGTTGGAACAACATCCCTTTTTTGTGCTCTCTCTGCATGCTTCATATTAGGTGATGCTCGTAACACTTTTACCCCACTTCACACCTTTTTTTCCATAGTCTTCCGATTTCGCTACTATACTAACTTAGTATACCGCACTAAGACTAGCTTACGCATTACACTAAGTTCGCCCCCCCTCCCCCTCCTCCCCTCTCTCTTACAAAGACAAAATAATCGAGCACAAAGAAAAAACCCTCCATCAGAACCACCTTTGCATCCTCTTCCTGTTTTCAAACGTTGCCAAAGTCATCACAACCCTCCGCATTCATCTCAATACTCGCCACACCAAACCATGCCTTTCCTTATCGCAGCCCTTCATTTAACCTCGATAAATGCAAACCAGGGTCTGTTTTCCCCACTTAACCGCCCCACCACACACACACATCAACTGTCTGTGCGTTGTTTTCTCGCTAATAAGCGTTTGAAAACGGGCCGGCTTTTGTCAATCAGCGTTGCTCTCTTTGTTTTGGTTCTTTGATCGCTTGTCGCCCCCCCCCCCCCCCCCTCCCCCGCCTTTTTAGCATTTTGCGAATATGTGATTGGGATCGGGAATCGGTTGATAGGAAGGGGTAGGGTGATTTATGCATATGCGTAGATTAGATGTATGAATGTCTTGATGAGGGGGGTTTTTTTGTTAAGAGAGGGGAACAAATAGTGGAAAGTTGATGGTGCTATTTAAAGGGAGGAATGTGACAACCCCCGAATAGTGAGTGAGAGGTTGTACGAGAAATGCCGACATGGCGACATTTAATGAGGTTATTGCGGCATGATGAATATATCGATCCCAGTTGAACAAAAACAAACGCCTGAAAATGGTACAAACACAGACTTATTGGCATAGCACCTTGCCAATTAATCAAAAGATAAATCCGTAAATATGCATTTCCATTTCCAAACTTCAATAACGCCCACCCTCTCTCTTTCCCAAGTTCAACCCACCAAATCCAGCACTCCTCCCAAGTCTATCCGTCTGACCCAGTGATCGCTCACTACGTTCCCTCTCTGCATTACCTAAACTGATTCGCTTCAATGGACTAATGTCCTTCTTACTCGGGCTAGCTCTCCGCTCAAATGCACCGCCAAGACTATCCCTTCCTCGATTTGCGCTCCGCTCGCCATCCCTCCCGAAAGCCGCACTAGTGGATTTCCTTAGCGGAGATGCAGCATGTGTGTTAATCCCGAGATATCCTCCATCGTTGACTTTGGTGTCAATGTTGTTTCGGGATATGGTGGGTGCTTGGCGGAAGGGGTTTGGTGGTTGCGAGGAACGGATAGGAGAAAAGATATCAGCATCAGTTGCTGTAGATGTGGTCGCATACTGCGGGTTACTGTCTCGTCGGCGGAGCGAAGGCGTGTTAGAGGTGGAGCGTGCGTTATCGGGATCGTACTGTGAGGCATAGCTGGCGTTTGGGTTTGTGCGGAAAGTGCGATTGATGACAGTCTTGGGCGTATAGGTAACAATTTCGCTCGCTAGGTCGTCACTGCTGCCTTTAACACCAACACTTGAATCTTGATTCCGGTTCTTTGAAATGGTCTGAACGCCCACGTCCCTGCATGGCTTCTGCAACGACGGGTGCACAAACTTGCTGTCGTACTCGTGAAGTACTTGGCGACTGATCAGAGCATTGTCTTTGATCTGTTGGGAAAAAGAGCTTTGCAGCCACCACAGCTGCAGCGACAGCACCGCTCCGATCAGGATAGTTGTTGTGACCCTCACACTCGGGCTTGGGTCCAAGGGGCCAACAGGAAGGTTGAGGAAATAGAGCACCACATGAAGAGGGCTAAAGAGGCAAAACAACTTTAGGCACAGTGGGTTGGGGTCCCAGACCGCGACCTCCCAGACGTCCCGGCCTTCGATGGGATGCGCCCTGTCCGCAGCATTGTTTTGTACCAGGTTCCTCACAAACTGCATAGGACTCGCAGCAGCTGGAGATGAGTCGACGCGAACGCGCTTCGCGCTGGGTGTACGCGGCGCAACGTCCACCTTTTGTTCAAACAAGCGGTAGTACCGCCTCTTTCCCCAAACGAGCCATGCATTTACGAAGCTTATTCCACCCAAGACCATGACTAGCAAACTCAGTGTTGATTTGAGCCATCCGGGACCTTCGACCTCGTTGAAAACACCGTCATCATCTGAGGCCGCGGATGCGCCGCTGTTTGCCTGCGCGAGGACAAAGAGTAGATTTGCGCCGAAGCCGATATAGAGGGAATACGAAGACGCAAAGTCTTCCCAGTCAGAACTGTTGAGTTCTTCCGAGATCCAGATGAGCCAGTCGGAAGGGTCGGTGTATGCTTTGATGCGTTCGGCGAGCGGCGCGCGGCGCACGAGACGGGGCATGGTGGCGGAAGAAGTATTACTATAGTAGCGACGCTGAGGTGCGGTCGGCCCGTAAAAGAAGATGAAGAAGTAAAAGGAATGTGAGAAGGCGTCGAGTGTCACGACATGGCTTTGTGGTTGGGGTGAAAGGAGGGAGAAAGAAGTCGGAATAAGGGCCCAAAACATTTGGCCAAACACGGACTAGGGCCCCATGACGACGGCGTGCAGCTTCCCCAGCCAAGCTCCGACCTCACTACAGCTGCCCTCCAAACACATCCCGCCATGGCAGCACCGGCAGCGCAATACAAGGACAGACAGTTTCTCGCCGTTATCGGCGATGAGGTGCGTACACCACGCGCCCTTTAACGAGGTGTCTCGGGGAAGCCGACTGACTGTTTGCAGGACACTTGCACGGGCATGTTGCTCGCGGGCGTAGGCGTATGCTATAGCTCTCCCCAGATGTCGCAATGGAGTAGAAGACTGATAAATGGTACAGCACGTTACCCAGCCGCCAGATAGCCAAAAGAACTTTTTGGTTGTGGACGGCAAGACCGAGACGTCGGCCATCGAAGCCGCCTTTGATCGCTTCACCAACGAGCGCAAGGACATTGCCATTCTGCTTATCAACCAGCATGTACGTTGAGCCGTCGGCCAGTTTGCGATAATGCTGCTGCATTATGCGATTGCAAAGTTGGGTGCAACAACAGGCTGACAAGTGCTAGATTGCCGAGAGGATACGACACCGTGTTGAGAGTTACACTGCCGCCTTCCCCTCGCTGCTTGAGATTCCGTCCAAGGACCACCCCTATGATCCTGAGAAGGACAGCGTGCTGAAGCGCGTCAGGAGATTGTTCGGAGAGTAGATGTCCTTGAGGGAGCACTAGCCAGTCGAACGTACACAATGTATCATGCAAGCAGTGGTACTAGCACGAGTCATATTGGCTAGATGCCAACTTGCGCATGTATATCACGTAGAAATAGTTGATGAATGATATCCATCAAGTTGAAACAGCTCAAGATGCCATACAAGGATGCATATCAATCATATCTACATTAAGCGTGGCCCAGGAACTCGACAACAAATCCAAACTATGCGCCAAACCCAATAAAGTACTGACATTGCGCGTTTACCAAATGAATAGCTCGTATCATTCTCACAGCTCGTTCCTTCGTCGTAACCGCTCCCGCACCATGTCTGCCAACGGCCCAGACATTTGCACTCGTGGCTCACCAAACTTGATGTTGCCACCACTGTTGGCAATCTTCTCCCCCGTCCCTCCTCTGTATCGTTGAATATCAGACACCGTTGTTGCTCGTCGTGTGTGATGGTGTCCAAGTAGATCTGGTGACATTTACCGGTGGAATGCAACCTTGGCGGTGAGGCAGGTGATCTTTTCCTGATTCTCCGTGAATACGTCAGCAAGAACGGTGTATTGACCCTACGGTACTGTTAGCATCGCCTTGTAGTGTCCAAGAAGGATTCAGGGGGCGCACCGGAGGAATCTCCCTGGGCAGATCAACATCCTTGGTCAGGCTCATTTCGCCCTTCTTGAGCGGGCAATCAAGGTCTCCCTTCTTGATGGTATCGCATCCATCGGCATTCTGGTTGATGAGCGTGATAATGCCATACTTGACCTGGAGGTGCATCTTGAAGCCCTCGCCAACCTCTTGCTTGAAGTTGCCCGTGGCTTTGATGCTGAGCGTCTGTCCACTATGCACGCATTAGTTCCGATTTACAGGATTCCAGGCTATCGAAGCGTCGCGACAGATGAGGCTGGGAAACGCCGAGATGGAGGTACGTACGGCTGGGGAGGGTTGGGGCTAAGGTCGACCTTCTCGATGGTAAGAATGTCGTCGGCTGGGTCGCCGCAAAAGTACAGCGGGTTATCGCCCGGCACCTTGTACTCTTCCTTTACAACGACTTGGTCGCCTCCCATCCACGAAGGCGAGGCGGAGACGGAGACGGCGCTCAGCGCGGCAACGAAGAGCGTGGTGAGCTGCATGGCGACGGTGGCTGGCGGCGATTGGGCGAGGGGCGCGTGAGAAGTGACTTCGAAATGACAGTTCTGCGGTTGAGAAGAGGGTTTGGAGATATAGTTGTGGGGGAGGAATGTGGAGCTCTGCTCGTTGGTTCAGGTTGGCGTCAAGACATAGCGGCTGCAACTCCCATGTGAGGCTGGGGCGGAGCTTGGACCCTGTTACCAACGTCATTCTTGTTGGTCACGTTTCATGCATTAGCGCCTGCACTAGCCTGTTGTGGCCCTTATATGCTAGCTCTTCTCCATAACACCATCCTGATCCAGTCGGGTAGGTATGTATGGCGATACTCAAGATTTATTTTGAATGTGAATTCTGGATGCTGTGAATACAAGAGAGTGCTGCTTTTTCATCGCAACTGTAGTTCGCTGTTCTGCTGCCTTCGTCGCAACCGTGATTTAGTTGTTGTACCCAATAGAGACGTGTCTAATAGGCATGTACCCGTTGAGAGGTGTATATATCTTTAATAGTATTACTTAACAATTTCTTAGAGTTTAGAAGTAGGTCATCGCTAACGCTAACCTAAATTCTTTTACTTTAACTGTAAAGTTAATTTTGTCGTACCACAATCTGGCAGGTTAGGGTGTAGCCTGGTATTTTCTCTAAAATGATTGATCTAATACGCTATATAAGAAAGAGACATAGAAAAGTCAAGTCATACAGGCAAGAGCTATTTTCAGTGTTCGAGTCGTTGGCACCGCTTTGGTAGTAGCCCTGCCGTCTGAACTCTTCACAGCTGATCCAAGTATTTCTCCTATCTTTCACATATATTCCGTAACCACCATATCCGAATTTAACAGCGGTGAGTTGGCCAAGTCATCCAAGTCTCTGTGTGAAGACGTGGACAAACTAGAAGGTTGGTTTGCTTTTACCGGTAATTGTACACCAGTTTCACCGCTTGTTTAGACAAGGGGGACAGGGTCGCCATCATGTATGTAGTTGATTCGATTTCTCATACACTGGTATGAGACTGGATATTTGAGAATTTTTGAGTGGACTTATAGATCTTATTAGTTAACTTGGCGTTTGTTTACAGTTTTATAGTTGACTTTCCGATGGATCTTATAGCGCTCTTTGTTTGTCCTTTTCTTCTGATATTTGTGAAGTCTATTCGCTGCAATCAACTTACACAAATGGAATCCATATTCAAAATGAGTAGATAAGCAGGAAGCACATATGTTGTAATCAAAGCGAAGTAAGGACAGTAGATCGCTGTTGGGGATAATCATGTGATTGTTCACGTGACTAGTCAGATGAGCACTAGGAGAGTTATGTAACTGGCTGCGCAGTTTCCATTCAGTAGCATTTCTTTGATAGCTATGTGTCCTATAAGTTGTCAAATTCGAAAAAACCCATATCATATATGCCCCCAAAAATCATTTCCCGGAACATATACATATCAATCTAATCGAGGTCGAGTTATCTAGCCTATGAACGAAAAGCAATCCAAGCCTCCAGATTTGTTAAACTTCGTAGTGGTTCTAGCGCATGAGGAAAGTGCGCTTCAATTTCACATCTGATGGCGGAGTAATAGCATTGAAAAAATGAGAAAAGTCAAATGAGCGGATGCATGAACTTTATTTCAACTGCAGTGGCTGAGAGTAGAGCACTACATCACCCCAGGACTGCACCGACATCAGAAACGTATCTAATTAAAACGCCAAAATGTGCCAATATTGTCTTAGAGAAGTAGTGGCAATGAATATGCATCAATATGATTACTTACAACTGTTCCAGACCCCCGGTATTGTCACAGATATTAGTTTGCGCGGTGGTACAAGGTTTTTATTCTTACAGTGAGCTTAACCCTATGGATTACCGTAGTACGACTCGGGTTTATCCGCCGGGGCATCTGACCCTTCGGCAAACCTGCATGTGATTGGGATACAGTGTGGATAATTTTCAAGTCCCGAAGGGTGTGGAGCAAAGACGAATGGCAAGCAACGGTTAGGTATATGCGGGGTTCAACCAGCCATGTCACGGCTTTGCTGCAGAGCGAACTCCACACACAATTTAGCGGTGTGTATCACTACCATAATGCGTTAATTCAAATGGTTAACAAATCAGCAACGTACGCATGGATGCATCTAAGCGAACCAAGCATTGCTTGGTGGTGCTTAAGTACCTGGTATAGTTCTTTACTTGCTATTTTTCTTGCTGCGCTCTGATTTGTATTCTCACACCGTGTCTCACTAAGGGAGCCTAGAAAATGGCTTTTCAGCACGACGCAGAGAAGCATGGCGAGGTATTGGACAAATACGCAGTAAGCACGAAGATTAAGTTCCAATGTGATTACGAATCTAACTCAAGCCCTAGGACACTCAAAATGTCGATGCCATCGAAGAAGCAAACTCCCCAGCTGTCAGGGCTCTAATCTGGAAACAAGATCTGCACGTTGTCCCTTTGTGCGCTACGATTTACCTTCTTTGCTTTCTCGACCGCTCCAACATCGGCAATGCCAAAACCCTCAATGCCAACGAGGGGCATTCCCTCCTGCAAGAGACACATATGACCAACTACCAGTATACCATTGCCCTCATGGTATTCCTCGTTGCCTACGCTGTATTCGAGGTACCAAGTAATTACTTCCTCAAGAAGTTCAAGCCGAGCCGGTGGATTGCCTTTCTCATGTTTGCATGGGGCGCTTGCACAATCGGACTCGGTGGCGCGAACAACTACGCGACTGTCGCCGCTGTCCGGTTTTTACTCGGAGCATTTGAAGCTGGACTGTTCCCTGGATTGGTCTACTATCTCACGTTTTGGTATTGTGCACGCGAAAGAAGTATCCGTGTTGCTATCATTTTGGCGAGCGCGACGCTGGCGGGAGCGTTTGGCGGTGCGATCGCTTATGGCGTAGGCCACATGAAGATGGTACACGGCCTTTCTGCCTGGAGGTGGCTATTCATATTGGAGGGAATTCCGTCGTGCGTCTCATCAGTCGCAGTATGGCTACTTTTACCAGACTATCCCGAGGAAGCATCGTGGCTCTCGACATCCGAACGGGAACTGGCCGTTGCACGTTTGGAAAATGAGGGCTCAAAAGGTAATGCGCCTTCGCTCACCTGGAAGACAGCAAAGGAAACATTACTCGATGGCCGTCTCTGGGTGCATTACATCATCTACTTTGGCATTTCCACACCATTCAGCTCACTATCGCTTTTCACTCCGACCATTACTGCTGGCTTGGGATACGAGAATCTTCAGGCTCAGCTCATGACGGTTCCTCCATACGCAGTCGCGTATGTGGTCTGCATCACCACTGCTTGGTCGTCGGACTATTTTAACGCCCGCGCATTGCATGCGGCCACCTTATCTACTATCGGTGCAATTGGCTTTCTTGCGTCGGCACTTTCCCCTGCCGACGCCTTCCATGCGCGATATGGGTGTTTGATCGTTGCGGCTAGCGGTGCATTCTCGTGTATCCCACCACTGCTGGGCTGGTTGAGCACCAACATGCATAGCACTGCTGCGACAGGACTGGCGATTGCCCTTAATGTTTCTTGGGGGGCCCCCGGCCAAATTGTCGGCGTTTGGATATACAAAGCAAATGAGAAGAAGTTGGGATATCCGACAGGACATTGGACCAATTTTGCGATGTTGATGATGGTTGCTGTTGGATGTGTCGGCTTGCGCTTGTACTACCAATGGCATAACAAGAAGAAGCGGCAGTTGGGAACGGATGGATCAAATGTGATAAGAGAGTTTAGCTATTAAATCAGCATGCTGCATGTTTAGTAGAGCTTAGTGTAACATCGGTGGAAGTCAGTAAACGCAGATTGTTTTCTTTTCTGAACCTAAGTTACAAATAAGCTACACCGCGATCGACGAAACAACTTGTAGGTCCGCGAATGTAGGAGGGCACTTGATGGTTCCCATCTTGAAATCTTCTTCTAAAACAGAGAGCACAGTGCTCTTGGACTTAGATCCATCCACATTGCCGGGTTTCTTAACAACGTAGCCACCATGCTCAATAATTTTTAGCAAAGTTGGAGCAACCACCTCCGTTCCACAAGAGGACATTCTTGGTTTCGCTGGGAAGAGGTGCAAGAGCATCAACAGTATCAACAGCGAGTAAGTTGGCCTTGGGCTTTTGAGGTGTGATATCAACTCCAGAGTAAGCAGAGTTCTTGGCAGGCTGAAGAGAGAGCATGTAGGCAAGAAGACCAGCGATATGGGGGGAAGCCATAGAAGTTCTTGATCTGAGATTGGTAGCGTACTTATGGCCCATCCAGGTAGATAGAATCCGATCTCCAGGGGCAAAAATGTCAACACACTTGCCATGGTTAGAGAATTCCGCACGCTGATCTTGCAGATTCGATGCACCGACAGTAATGAAATTGTCGAAGCGAGCAGGATGCCGCGTACACGCGTCGACATTTTCGTTGCCAGCAGAGACAGCGAAGTGGAGGCCAGCACGCACAGCAACATCGATAGCAGGACCCGGACCTCCTAAGCTCATATTGAAAACACTGCCCTTGAAGCCCTTCTTCCCGCTCTATACAGCCAATTCATGTCATTTAACTGTGTATTGAATAGCTAGAATGATGTTGGATGAGCGAGCTTTTCAGAACTGCCAAAGACATTAAGGAAATAGAGATTTGCCTTTTTGGCAACCCCATGTCTCTTGCCAACAAGAGTACCAGAACAGTGTGCCGTGACCACGGACATCTTCCTCAGGCTCATTCTCCAGAATTCGCTTGAGTCGTGTAGCCCGGCCCTCAAAGTCCACGTGCTCAATCTTAGTACCAGTATCTATGATGTAGATGTCAACACCCTCACCACCATCGGCGGCGTATAAGTGGTTGTTCCACGTTTCGCTCTCCAAAGCATTACGCTGTGAGATACGAACAAGTCCCCAAGAAACATTCCTCTGGATCATATGCTCGCCGCATGGATCATCGTTGATCTCAGGATCACTTTTGTCGAGGTAGACTTTAGAGTTGCGTTTGACGTAGTTAATCTACTAATATTTGAGATATCTCTATAAGACTAGAAAACACTGAGTGTGTTTTGGTCTGGTTGTGTAATTATAGTGGCTTGGTTATTAGAATAATTGGAGGCTAAGCACCTTACCATCGCCATCGAACAGGTTCTGCGAATTTGTGGCATTGGTAAAGCGTACTAGTGAAGAATTATGAATACAAAATACATCAGAGTGGCGCTGGATTGACTTGAAAGTCTCTTCACTGAAATGACCAGAGTATCCCATGAATCCAAACATCTCATATGTATGCTCTGAAGCCAATCATAGTGCTGAGAAGGATATTTGACACCCTTCTGTAAAACAACAATGCATATTTCAAGGAATACAACTGCTGAGCCTGATGATATAAGCGGAGCTACGTCGTTGCCAGTCGCTGTGAACGTCGGCGATGCCGCGACCAAAGCCGATAGCGCAGAAAGTAGTGTGTATCTCATGATATGTAGTAATCTAGCGTGTGCGGTGAGCACCACGAAAGAACAGACGACGAGCGTTGTGAGAAAGAAGAGAGATGGGTAATTGGAGCAAGGTGAACTGAATAGACATAGAAATTTACCTCTCGTTTCTAAGCAGCTTTAGGTTATTAATCAGTTTGTCCAATTACCATGACACAATGTAGCTCTAGGCTAAGTGGAGGTATGATCGACGTGCTTGCATTGCTTTTATGATTTTGCATCCGGGTCACGTCTAGCGTATGAGCTCACCGTTACTTAGCTCAAAGAAGGAAAGAAGAAAGACTGCAGGTTGCGTTCCGACCTGCCAGTAACGGGGAGCTCAACTTAAACTTGATGCAATTGAGTTTGTAGTCATATGACGGAGGAAGCATTGTGTTGGGATGCTAAGCTAGACAGTGTCGAGTGATAGCTTTCCAAGCCATCATACTTCCTACCAAGAGCCTCACTCTCGGGATATCGATGCTGTAATTGTGATTATGTGAGAAAGTCTGGTAGGATAAATTCAGACTCAATTATTATCTAACGGCAACTAACGCGGTTCAACACTTACAGTGACCGGACCGTCCCAAGTGTTTGTATACTGGGCATATCCTGTCCTATTTCGCATGCAACTATACACGCGGCCCACCTTTCCCAAAAGTAGAAAGCAAGATACAAGACAGGAAAGCTGTTCGTCTTTCTTACATGGTCGGCAAACATGCCCGATCGCAGCTGCGGCTATGCTACTTACCCAAGGCACAGTAAAGCATTGGATCTTAGGCTATCTAGCCTATTATACTTTGACCCATGCATCCTCAGCCTTCTTGATGATTTTTATACTACCATAAGGCTGTTTAAAATATGCAAATGTAACTCACTGGGCAGTCTTAATATTGCCACATGATGAAGTTCAGAAGCCAGCATTGCTATATAACAATGGGATGTAGGGACTAGAGCGTTTTGTCCTGACATTTCTCGTTCTCAAAAGACGCTGGATATTACTCGTTGATCTTTTTATACACGAAACATCACCAATATAAATCCTTCTATCTTGAACGTTGTCTTTTCAGTAGTTTTTCTCCAACGAAGGGTTTTAAGCCCTATCACAGAATGTCAGGATTGGCTTACGAAAACATTTGTTCTTTACGAAAAGTCATCGAAACAATGATTTTTTGCGCTGTAATATCGATTCAAAAGAAATGAAGAGACTAGTGCCCATTGTCAGAGAAGGGTATAGAGCAGCGCTAATGCTCTAGAAAAGAAGCAGTCTAGTGTAACGTGACTAGCGCCCCAACTTCATCACTACGCCACCAGGTGCTCTTAGACAGCTTGTTAGCGCAGAAGAGGTATTGACCGTAGATCCCGAGCGTACTTTTGCTGCATGCACCCATATGAGTTCACACGCAGATTGACTTAGTTCGAAAAAGAATGCCATGCAGCCGACCAAAACGCTAGGGTTCTTGAACAATACCATGAATTACCGAGGCATTTACCTCGAAATTCACGGGTTGGAGGCACACCTTGTTGGAAATAAACCAAAGCGAAAGAAGTTAAATGATAGATAGAGGTTGTGAGGGTACGACACAAAATGTGCCGTTACAAGGCATAAGAAAGATTTTGCGCCGGACGGAGAAAAAGGGTTGGGCCGCTGTCAAAAGGAAGGAGAAACGCGGGAAGCACACACGGCATGATTGACGTCACGCTAACATCTACCAGACGCTAGTACATAATCTTAGTCCTCAAAGATACGGGCGCAACAGACGATGGGAGCGAATAGAGCAATAGACGAATGGGATGCATAGATTTATTATCGAAGTTGTTGTAGTCATATTTTGACAGGATTTACTTCATCTGGATCTACATCTACCTATTTGTCTTGTCGCAATAAGATTTGTTCGATTGTCCGCTACCAGTTACCATATACAGTGTATTTAGGTGATTGTCGAGATACTTTTCTTTACGTACGTCCCGCTTGTCTTAATGTCCATGAGAGGTGGAGCAATATAACCCAAGATTCCTAATGCTTTGTTGAATATCTAGGCTAGGATGTGTAATGGTGGCTGTGTTAGGTTATCTTAAAAGCCGCAAATCAGCTCATGATGACCAAGTCAATGAGGGTAACAGGGAAAAGTTAGTTTACTTAGATAGTACTGAAGGCCTTTCCTCTAGACCTCAGTTTGGCACAAAATAGAACTGACTAGAAACACAAATGTACACAGGATCGTATGCCTCTACATCGCTTATGGATGATGCCAGGTTGTAATATTACGAACCTGTGCGATAAGTTTGTTAGTTTGTTGGACACACCAATGCTGTGATTAACAAGGGATCAATTTGGACCAGGATATTATTAGCCGGTTGAAGAGCCCTTCTACGTACCCGTCGGCCATTATGTCCTATGGAACTATAATTTCTCCGTTTGTGCTTAGACACCATCATCTATTAGAATTTCCCGTGAAAGAAGGCATTAGCAAGATATATCGGAAGCTACCATAGTGCAACGGTCTTGGATGCCGAGCCTGTCGACGCATAGCACAGCGAATAGATCAGTCTTCCCCATCATTGTTAAAAAGCATTTTAACTTATTCAAAAACAAAGTGCCCGCCATGTACGCGCCTAGCGGGTTTATGGCGGAACGTCTTATCACGCAAATTGGGTACAACCCGAGCAAGGTCAGGAATCTCCACGAAATCAGAAGAGACATGAGAATATGACGTAGCGAAGGACTGAAAATCAAGAGACGCCAGGTTTCTAGATGAACTGAACCAAGATATCTCGATGGATATGTGCATTGATTGGTTTTTGACTGCACATGTTCCCAATTGTCCAAAGCTTGCACTAGAAAATGAAAACACTCAATGCAAGGCTATATTGATTTGGCATACGACACCTTACTCATCGATAATCAAAGTGTACCATAGCTTAGTAAAGCGAATATAAGAATGTACATATGGAAGGAACAAGCACTATCTATCACATCTATCATTCCCATCCCACCAAAACATCATTACAAACATACAAAATGCGGACTTCTCTAGCCATCCTCCTTTCCACTCTATACACAGCAGCATATAGTGCCGGTACTTCGTACCAGTGCTAAAACGGTAAGTAAAGTAGAAATCCTATACCTAACCCCCGAAAGTGAAGCTCACACGTGAAAACGAACAGGTGGAACACCATCCCTTGGATGCGCCAACCCCTCCGAGGTACCCGATTGCGCCTGCTCCTGCACCAACGGCGTCACTTTCAACCAGCCTCTCTCCCGAGCTCTTCTGGTCCGATGATTCCCAACAACTGCCAGGCGGACAAGGAAGCATGCCTCTTACGCGAGCAGGAAGCCATTGCCAATCTCAACGAACAAACGAAAACTTGCAATGCACGCGAGGAAATGCTGATGAACCAGCTCAATGAACAAACGACAACGTGCAAAGCGCGCGAAGACCTCTTGACAGCCCAGTTCAACACAGCAAACGCCGAGTTACTTCTCAAACAGCAACAGCAACCCAAGTGCGATGCCATGCTCGCCGAAGAGAGCATCCGACGAGCACGCCACTTCCGGTACCAAGGGTGCTACACCGAGAGCAGAGACCGCGTGTTGGGAGGGGAAAAAAGACTTCCGATTCCGCGATGACGGGGCAGAATTGCATGGCTTTCTGCAAGGATTACCTCTATTATGGTCTGGGGGACGGCAGCGAGTGCTGGTGCGCTGATACGTTTCATGTCCCTGCTACCCTGGCTAGTAATGAGCATTGCCAGACCAAGTGCGGGGGCGATACGACACAGACTTGTGGAGGGAGCTGGTATTTGGCTATCTTTTCAAAGTAAAATGGTGGGTGGATGAGCGTTTTAGTCAGACGCGTGTGTCTGGTTTGAGGTATAGTGGAATTTATTGGCTAGGGAGAGAAAAGGTGTAAAGCTTTGAGACAAGTGGTTACTTTTGGTACACTTACATTGTTCAGATTGATCGAAGTGGGGCGCTTGTGCTGTCTTGATATAGGTAAATGCACGTTGCTTGAGTCTATTTGCAAGTACATTTGATTGGCTCGTTTCATTAGCGAATGTGCAACATCGATCTTTCCCTAGTCCTAATGTATTATAAGCTTGTCTAGAGTACGCTATTCAGAGTAGTCTGTGTAAAGATATACGTATGGGAAATTCACGTGGTTCGATACTCTTTCACTAGCAAATCTCGAAATGAATCCGTAACGATTAAGGGTATTATTCCGCTAAACTACAGACCTACAGACCTACAGAAGAGTGGCGGCCTCTTCTCTATCACCAACATTACATCGTAACGGTTTAAGCAGTCATTAACTTATGCGTGCGACTCTACTCGCTCAATGTTGTTCTGCTTCTCAAACTGCATCGCAGTGTCCCTGAGAGCAGGCTTCAGGGAGTCTGCTACTTCACGAGTGAACTTGCGAGCCGAAACCCTGTGCTCAAACATGACATCAAGCTCAGAGTATGTGAAGCCCTTGGGCTCAGGAAGACGGAAGTAACCCCAGACGATGAAGAGCAGTGCAATGCCAGCCCAGAAGAAGCCGCCTTTGGCACCCCAGTTCCAGTCATTCTTACCAACCATCTTGGGCATGATGGTGTTGGTGACGAAGACAATAGAGTTGTAGGATGCGCGGGAAAGAGCGACGGTCTTTACCCTGAGACGAGAAGAAGGAATTTCGGCAGCGAGAGAATAGCAGATGGGTCCGAGGGAAAGCTAGTCATGTTAGAGGGTATGCGAAGAAAACCAGACTGAGAAAAAACATACCTGGAAGCAGAAAATCATGAGAATAATGAGAATACCTCCGGCCAGACCGGCACTCTTGTTCGACTGCGGTGCGAGGCCAAGGAATCCAACAATCAAAAGAATGAGGAAGATAGAGGTGAGACCGACAAGGTAAATGGGTCGTCGGCCAAAACGAGTCATGATCCACCAGGCGATGAAGCAACCAACTAAACCCAAGCAATCCTGACCAATGGTGAGATGGAACGAATCGTCTTGACTAAGACCAACCCCGAGCATAAACTGGGTTCCAAACCCCATGAAGGGAACGCCACATAAAGCTTGCGTAATAAATGCCATGGCGCTAACCTCAGTTCGGTGAAGGTCACTACCGCGGAACAAATGCCAGTAGTTGGTTCCTGCTCCAACCTGCTTTTCGTACTGATCGGTGACAATCATCATCTCAACGTGGGCATCTAGATCAAACTTGACGCCTTCGGTAGGGGTGGTTATCTTGCGGATTGCGTCTTTGGCCTCATCGATACGGCCCTGCCTAACGAGCCACCATGGGGATTCGGGTGCAAGGAGGGTAGCTACGATGATTGGAATCGGCCAGATCCATTGGAGAGCAAAAGGAACACGGTAGCCCCACTGCGTTGCGTTCTTCATCAGTCCAGTGAGGATACCAGTGGAGAGAAGACCACCAATAACCCAGCACATGTTGATCCACGACGTCATGTATCCTGGTACTAGTCAGTATTATCTTGTGATCCGCGCGTTTGGTTCACATACCTCTGAGTTGCATGGGACAAAGATCCGCAGCATACGAGATGGCAAGTGTCTGGAAAACACCCCACGGGAGACCCTGGATGATACCACCGACAAGGAACATTTCCAGACCAGTAGAGAAGAATGGAATGAAGATGGCGCCGATCATGAAGACCATGCTGCCAATCATGGTTTTCTTGTATCCGATCCATTCTGTGATATAACCGTTGATGATAAGACCAAGGATGCAACCAACCTATCAGATCATGTTAGTTGATGATATCGATGGTTGGAGTGAGGTCTGTACCTGAGTTCCGTTGAGAATGATAGTCTGCCATCGTGAAGAGACCAGCTTGTTGCCATCAACGTCGACCTCGTCGCCAAACCGGTTGCGAAAGGGAGTGAAGGCGAAGAACTTGTTCATCAAGCTCGTATCGTATCCTTCCATGACGACACAGAGCGAGATGATGAAAGAGAAGACGATGGCCTTGGACCAAAAGCGCAGGGCCTGGCGAACGGTCATATTTTGCTCATTACTGATGGCCGCGCTGGTGTCGTCGGCGGGATTGGAGGCATGAGAGGCAACATTCTCAGCCACTTGGGCTTCGGTCTTCTCCTTGGAAGCCATGGTGGTTCAAGCTCGAGGATCGGGCAAGACACACAGAGTTGTCCCAGGGGATTGAGGGTTGTTGATGGAGACTGGAGTGAGAAGAATATTTGAATGGGGCCGAGGCGTAGATATATAGAGCGGCCGAGAGCATAGCGACAAGCGTTAAGAGTCGGGCCAGAGTGCTGCCACTAGAAAAGGCTAGTCCGAGGAAGTGGTTGGCCCAGGTTCTCGGTAGTGACCAAGAGGGGCATGGCCAGATCTACTTGCGGGGAAAACCATGGGGAGATGTTGATACAACGTGCCCATGGGGACAAGATGGAGCATTCCGCTGGGTGAACTGACCAGTGAGCAGCAGCGACGAGACTTGCCCAGGGGGAGAGACTTTTCCGCCAGTAAACCGCCGCTAGCAGAGGGAATGGCACGTGTTTGCCCTTGGCGGGTCAGTTTCCTGTTCTGGCCTCAGCCGCTCCGAGGTTGTCGCGAGTCGTGGCCAGCCACTGTCTTCATTCACACCATTGACTTTTCCGTCAGTTCTCCGCTTTCCTTACCCCAGAGATGTTCGTCAGACTTGGCTGCTTCTAACACGCTATGCGCAAACCGTCTGCCTGTACAGTTTGCCGGTAAGCCCCCAACTACACCGGCGTCTTCAAGCCACACACATCCATGCTGATGCTGTCACAGGGCGCGTCGTCGCAAATGCATCTATCCGACACACGGCGTGGATGCGGTGTGTGAGTACTGTTCGTCACATGGCCAACAGTGTATCCAAGGCCCACCAGAAGGCGGGTACTATGCAAGGCGCAAGGCTAGGCTGCAATCGCTCAATTCGCCTCCACAGCATCCCCAGAACCAGGATGCAACTCCAGCAACCACAAGGCACGCCGAACCAGACCTGCCACCCCTTGCACTGAGACGAGAGCTAGTCGACTTGTATTTCGACTACATCCACGATCAGTTCCACTCCATCTACCATCGCGTATCCTTCCTCCAAGATGTCATGCATGACCGAGTCCCGGCAATTGTGCTTCTTGCCATGTTCGCTCTCTCGGCACGATTCTCAACCAACCAAGTATTCCATGGAACAGACCCGAGGGAACGGGGCGAACGTTACCGGATACGAAGTGAGGAATTGCTTAACATCCGTCATCTGCACCCCACCACCGTTCAAGTCTGCCTACTCCTAGGCGCGTACGCTGCCGCTAACGGCCAGACCAATGTCGAGAATATCTATTACAGTATGGCTGGGCGCATGTGTCTGGCCCTCGATCTGCCAAGCCGTCCGGTTGCCAGCCTGATAGAGCGTGAAGTAAACATAAGGATATGGTGGACCATATGTATGGTCGATGTTTGGTCGTCAACTGCAGTCCGATTGCCGCGCATAATGCCATTTGATATCGTGGTGCCTCTGCCAGTCGACGAGTTTCCTTTCTCGTCTATGGGCACCGATCCAGAACATGGATGCATTGATCCGACATCCTCTGTAGCCTCTCCCCTCATGGCTGAGATGGTGAAACTTAACAGGATCTTGTCCAAGATCATTGATTTCAATCGCACATGCGTGTCAGATCACCTTGAAGGCTTGCCGCTGGAGAAAGGTATGCGCGAGTTGTCGCGCGACTTGGACGTCTGGCTCGAAAACCTTCCACCACATTTGCGTGACACACCGGACAACTTCAAATACTTTGCCTCACGGGGCCATGGGCGTATGTTTGCGGCCGTATATCTAGGATACTACCATTATGGTCAACTCCTGAATTACCAGTTTCTATCCTTGTCGACCGAGGCGTCGGCAGAGTCTGGGCGATATGCAGACGCATGCAAACAGCATGCTGCGCGGCTTTGCTCGCTGGTGTATCGTTCACATGCGACACCTGGTAGCGAAGTCATGTACTCGGCAGTGTCACACGTCCTTGTCATTGCATCCACTGTGCAGATTCATACCCTCCTCTTCTCCGCTGACGAAGCAGAGATCCGCATTTCAAAAGCAAGACTGGAGCGCAACTTTGAGATCCTGCTCCGGTTGCGTGCATATTGGCCTAGTGTGGATGGTGCTATGAGTCGTCTTCGAGCGTTCCATCAGACATGTCTGCGAAGCAAAGAAACTAGTTTTGTACTCGATCGGTGGCTGTTACGCTTTCTAGTCCAGTTTGCCCCTCACATGGAGCTTGAACCGAGAGACCACGATCCTGAATACGAGGCGCTGCTGGCATTGAGCAAGCAGTCGCCGCTCTCTTGCTACTCAGGTCTATCTCTATAAAGACGAAGAAGATTTTCTCTACCACATACTCGGTATGATAATGGTATAGATTTGAGCCAAGTCTAGGTCCCAGGATCCAATCGATACGAAAGGCGGGATGAAATCCTTGGGCAATGTTAGCGGCGGAAAACCCATCAGTTTTCCCCAGACACGTGCGGAGCACCCCCACATCGGAGTTTCAACTTCGGTAATCTAGTAGAAAGATTCGCGTTCACTGAGGGGAGGTGTAGCCATTTAAGTCTGCTCAACTTGCTACTCTGGTCTGCGTTGTTGGAGAGACAATACCGATTCTCCAACATGCCTCCCTCACATAACAGCATCCTCGTCGTCACGGCTCTAGCCAACGTCGCAGCTGCCGTAAACAATGGCCTTGCTATTACACCGCCAATGGGTTGGGTACGATGTTTCTGCCAATTGCCCGATTCGCTTGCTGATCTTAAAAGAACAACTGGAACGCTTTTGGATGCGATGTTTCCGAAAACCTGCTTCTCACAACCTCGGCCCAGATCATTGACTTGGGTCTGCGAGACCTGGGTTATAACTATGTTGTCTTAGATGATTGCTGGCAAAATCCCAAGGGACGCGACAAGGATGGAAAACTTCAACCAGCATTGGACAAGTTTCCCAATGGCTTAAAGTCAATTTCGGACCATCTCCATGACCACAATCTCAAGTTTGGAATGTACAGCAGTGCTGGTGAAATGACTTGCGCGAGATTCGGTATGACAGCCCCATCGCCCATCCCATGCTGTCACACTAAAACCAAATAGCTGGGTCGCTCGACCACGAAATTGATGACGCAAAGAGCTTCGCTGGATGGGGAGTAGACATGCTGAAGTATGACAGCTGCTATCACATGGGCCGCGTTGGTACTCCGTCGGTATCATTCAATCGTTTCAAGACTATGGCAGATGCCTTGAAAGCGACGGGACGAAACATCTTATTCAACTTGTGTAATTGGGGTGAAGACCTGGTTCATACGGTAAGATACATGTCATTGTTGCGTGCTTAGTGCTAAAATGAGCGTATACTAATTTTTGACGATAGTGGGGAATGTCCATCTCAAACTCTTGGCGCATCACAGGCGATATCTATGATTCATTTACACGCCCCGACGATCTCTGCGGCTGCAATACCGTGGCGCCAGGTGATGTCAACTGTGTAGCACCTGGCACTCACTGCTCGGTACTGTTTATTCTTAACAAGGTCGCGCCATTTGCAGATCGCAGCATTCCTGGCGGTTGGAGTGACCTCGACATGCTCGAAGTCGGACAGGGTGGTATGACCGACGAAGAGTACAAAGCACACTTTGCGCTTTGGGCAGCTCTCAAATCTCCATTGTTCCTTGGCAACGACCTGCGTGATATGCCAGCTTCTGCGCTTACCATTATCAACAATCCGGCTATCATCGCGCTGAGCCAGGACCCTCATGGTAGAAGTGTAACGCGAGTCCGACGCGATACCGAGGGTGTCACCAAAGACGAATGGGGCGTCGGCGAGACGCACGTATGGGCTGGACATTTGCACAATGGCGACGAAGTTGTGATTCTTCTAAATGCTGGTGGAAAAGACACTGAGATGAGTGTCTCACTTGCGGAGATTTTCATTCCCTATGGACCTGGAGGCTCAGCACCACATAACAAGTACGACTGGGACATTCATGATCTTTGGGCGCACCGCATGCCTGAGAAGACAGCTGAACAGATCCTTGCGGCAAAGACAAGTTCAGAGAAGCAAGCAGTACTCTCAAAGTCGAATTGGTACAACGCCACCGAAATTCCTTACGCTACTGGTCTTGCGCAAGAAGATCCACGACTATTCGGCGAGAAGATTGGCGTAGCCAAAGCCGGAGGGTCACTCAAAGCGGACGTAAAGAGTCATGCTGCGCGAGTCTTTCGACTGCGAAGGGTTGCAAAGAAAGGAGATGCCTTCGAGGCGAAGAGCATCTCAAGAGACGACGTCGACGTCGAGGAAAAGGATGAGCTATAGAACAGCAGTCCATCTTACTCTACAACCCACTCTTTCCATGTTGCATTGTTATGAAACTCGATGCATCAGATGACTGTGAGTTTTCTACATTAGACTATAGAGCTGCACCACTATCTATTTCCGTGTACCCGATTATCCTTTACTTGGCGTTCTTAGATAGGAAATAACGATGCTTGCTCCGCGACTAATGAGGACCAATGGCAAAACAGATTTGATCTCGGTTTAAGCTTACAAATTACCCCGGCAAGATGATTGGTACGATGCTTTAGACCAAGCAAATAGCGATCCTCTTAACATTGCCGGCCCGAGTGAGATACCGCCCTGTGCCAAAGTTCATTTTCTTTTATTTGAAAGTTGAGTAACTCCTCAGGGATTGGTATTAGTTTACGCCCTACTATATACTCATTCCTCTTGGGTGTACGTGTCAGTGTCGCACGACATTCGCGTAACATGATACTGATAGGTCAAACACGGTTATGACGAGGGATTCAACTTTAAGTCCATATATTTAGAGTGCTTTGATTGCTCTCGCCTCTTTGATTGCTAGCTGATGTGACTGTCGCAACTGACCCATTTGCTCTGACTGGTGATCACGCGTTGTTGATTCCCTTTTTCTCTCTGTCTTCCAAATAGGGACCTTTTTTTATTCCCGTTCACTTGCTACTGGCTGATTGCCAGTGGATGTAAAAAGGGGCTTCGCAACGTTCGTTATGTGATCGGGTGCTAGCCAAAAGAAATTTCCAACCTCTCAGTGGGGCTTAGAAGAATAGTAGTAGATGCCCTGAGATTTAATTACATTAAATTTCTTCGTTCGGGAGATAGCCTCTGGGTATAATTCCAGCATACTGCGAGTGCGAAAAGCAACTCATGCAAGCTCATGCACTAAAAGGTTTTGAGATTTACGACTGATTGTTATTTTTCTCGGATAGTTTGCCTGAGAGTACGCGGTACAAACCGTCAAGTTGAGGCGCTAGTAAGTGAACTGCTTTTTTGCGGCGCATCGGCACCACTCTACACCTTGCTTTGATACTCAACAATGGTATGGCCCTACCATGCTGGCTCGTTTCGAACCATCATCATTAAAAAATGTCCAGCCACAACACTTTCTTAGTTGGATGCATTATGACCGAATGAGCCATCGCTCGACCCTGTCCGGCTCGGCATGTTGACACGATGCACCCTCTGTTACACGAGCGCGTGCAACCGCCACCCATATGTGGATCAGTGCAGCCTTAGCCTTACAAACAATGCTCGAGCTCCATGTCAAATCTTGATGTGTAGATCAACCAGTCAAGCTCGTTGGCTCGAATAAGAAGGCACCATGGCCATGCCTGCCTTGTTTGTCCTTCTCATCTCCTGTCTCACCTCCTTACCATACCATTCTTCTGTCCATACTCTTTATTTTATCCCTTGTAGTACACTACGCCATATCACGTCACTCAATATTGACGAAATTACTGGTTCATTAGGAATTGACATGTCCCAAACTCATTAACAGCGCTTCTTAAACAACGAAGCAGCCAGGTATCCAATCGAGGATAGGAACTCTGACGGTGAGGGCAAAAGTGGGAAATAGAACGCCATCTGGAAGCGTGTTGCGAGTTATTGGTCGTACGCTCAAGGGTCCGGCGACTCGGAATACGCAATGCAAGAGAAAGAAGAGCCCCTGGCGCAATGCGAGGAGTTGGGGAAAGAGCAGGGCGTGGTCAGCGTACACAACGCAGATACACCAACATGTGAACCTCACTCATCCATCACAACCTCCGTTAGCATGAGCATGGGCGACGCTTCATCGCCCAAACTGGAACCAACCGTGTCCGAGGATTTTATCGCCGTCGAGTCTCCAAGTGCTCCCACGACGTACAAGGTTACACTTGCCATCACTGGAATGACATGCAGCTCCTGTGTGTCCGCCATCACGCATGCCGTTCGAGCACACGCATGGGTCCAATCAGTCAACATCAACCTTCTTACAAACAGCGGAGTGGTTGTTTTCACTGGGAAAGCCAAGTGTGACGAGCTTGTAGAGACCATTGAAGACTGTGGCTTCGACGTCGAAGTAGAGGAGTTGGAAGAAGTTCCCAACACGGCGTCAGAAGCAAAACTATCGAAGCAAAAGACGGAGCGTTGGCGGGCGACTTACTTGCTCGGTGGTCTAACGTGTTCGTCGTGTGTCGGCAACGTGACTCGGGCACTAGAACCGCATGCCTGGATCAAGTCGATCGATGTCAATCTAGTTTCAAACAGTGCAACCCTCGTTTTCACAGGCAAGAAGCATCTCTTAGAGATTGAAGGAATCATCGAAGACGTTGGGTATACGGCCACACTCGACCATGTTATCCCAGACGGTACACCAGCAATCGAAGCAATCGAGCGAACAGTTGCGGTACGCATCGACGGTATGTTCTGCGAACATTGCCCGCCGAATATCATACAAGGACTCCTGGGGGAATTTGCAGACAAGCATACATTCATACTTGAAGACCCCCCTCTATCCCTCGAAAACCCGATTCTACACATTCGATATGTACCGGCTCCCCCTACCTTCACCATCCGACATATCCTCTCCACTATTTCCAACCTAAATCCCGTCTTCGCCCCCTCAATCTTCCATCCGCCTACGATTGAGGAACGCGCACACCAAATGCACGCACAAGAACGCAAACGAATCCTCATCCGCCTCACACTCTGCGTCATCATCGCCATACCCACGTTCGTTTTGGGAATCGTCTTCATGAGCCTAATTAGCCCTAAAAACCCCATACGCAAGTACCTCATGCAACCCATGTGGGCAGGCAACGTCACAAGACTAAGCTGGGCCCTCTTCATTCTTGCAACACCCGTTTATTTCTTTGCAGCAGACACGTTCCACCGGCGCGCAATCAAGGAAGTAAAAGCCCTGTGGCGACCAGGGAGCCGAACACCGATTATCCATCGCTTTACAAGATTCGGAAGCATGAATATGCTCATCTCGCTCGGCACTACAATTGCGTATTTTGCATCGATTGCAGAACTCGGCCTGGCAGCTACGAAAATGTCGCACGGCTCAATGCACGATTCGTATTTCGATGCTGTTGTTTTCCTGACTATGTTCTTGCTCATTGGTCGCTTCTTGGAAGCGTATAGCAAAGCGAAGACGGGGGATGCGGTTACGTCACTGGGGAAACTGCGTCCTAGCGAAGCTATCCTTGTTGATTCTAAACAAGGTGATATAAAAATCGCCACCGATCTACTTGAGATTAGGGATGTGGTGCGGGTCTACCATGGTGCGTCGCCGCCGTTTGACGGCGAGATTGTAGAGGGAAGTTCGAGCTTTGATGAGTCGAGTTTGACGGGGGAGTCCCGCCCGGTGAAGAAAGTGGAGGGTGATATAGTATACTCGGGTACGATGAACAAAGGATCCCCTGTTCGGATTACGATCACGAGTATTGAGGGGACGTCGATGCTGGATCAGATTATCAATGCTGTAAGGGAGGGCCAGTCTCGACGTGCACCTGTTGAAAGGGCAGCAGACGTTATCACTTCACATTTTGTACCGTTTGTCATTGTCATTGCAATCACCACTTGGCTGGTTTGGCTCATTCTCGGTAAGACGGGAGCTATACCCAGTGACTGGAAGAATGAGGGTGCTGGTGGATGGGAACTCTGGTCTCTTCGATTCGCCATTGCCGTCTTCGTTATCGCCTGTCCCTGCGGTATTGGTCTTGCCGCTCCAACTGCGCTCTTTGTTGGAGGCGGTTTAGCTGCAAAGCACGGTATACTCGTTCGAGGCGGAGGCGAGGCCTTCCAAGAGGCCAGTTCTCTTGACTGTATCGTTTTCGATAAGACGGGTACCCTTACCGAGGGCGGCGATCCATCAGTGACGAACCACCAGTTCTCTGGAGATCAGAAAAGCTCATTGGTACTGGGTATAGTCAAGGCTCTCGAGCAGAATAGCAACCATCCCATCGCACGTGCTCTGGTCTCTTTTTGTAACAGAGAAGACCACATCACGCCAACAGTGGTCGACATCGACGAAGTACCAGGCAAAGGTCTAAAAGGCACTTTCCGAGTCGACGGACAAGATATCACTGCTATCGTAGGCAACGAAGCCTTCATGACCGACCACTCCGTCCCCATCTCCCCCTACTTCACCACCCTCCTCTCAACCTGGAAATCCCGCGGCGACTCCGTCGCCCTCGCAGCCCTCTTCATGCCCTCCTCCTCCCTCCTCCCCTCTCATTCCTCCTCTAGCTCCTCCAGCGAAAATCTCTCAACCGCACTGACCGAAACCCTTCCAACCCCAACCTGGCACCTGGCTTGCACCTTCTCCATCGCCGACGCCCTCCGCCCCGAAGCCCGCAGCGTCATCGCCGCCCTCCATACCCGCGGCATATCCACCTGGATGCTCTCCGGCGATAACCCCATAACCGCCAATGCCGTCGGCGCTCAAGTCGGCATACCGGCTTCCAACATCATCGCGGGCGTGCTACCAGAGCAGAAAGCTCAGAAGATAAAGTATCTCCAGCAGACCCTACGCAAACCACCCAAACGTTCTTATTTCCAAATCCCCTTCATCAGTGCAAACAGAGAAGAAAATAGGAGACAGAAACGCGCAACAATAGCCATGGTAGGCGACGGCATCAACGACGCCCCCGCCCTCTCCACCGCCGATTTATCCATCGCCATCGGCTCAGGTTCAGACATTGCACTGAGCTCCTCGTCTTTCATCCTTATAAACAGTCGTCTCACCACTATACTTACACTCCTGGATCTCTCGCGAGTGGTGTTTCGACGCGTTTATTTTAATTTCGGCTGGGCGCTTGTGTATAATGTGGTGGCTATGCCGATTGCGGCGGGGGTCTTGTATCCGATTACTACCGGTGGTAAGGGGGAGGCGATGGAAATGCATGCTGGGATGGCCATGGGGCATACGGGCGAGAAGCATGTTAAGCTTGATCCGGTCTGGGCTGCTTTGGCTATGGCGTTGAGCAGTGTTAGCGTGGTGTGTAGTTCGTTATTGTTGAAGAGCCGGTTGCCCGGTGTGGGGTTTAGAGTGCGACGTGAAGGTAATGTTGGTGTTGAGACTGGTTGATAAGGTAGTTCAAAAGGGGTGTGGTGTGCTCAATCAAGTTATTCTTAGAAATAATGTAGACTTGAAAATTTATCTGCGTGCTGTTGGATGAAATATCTGGGCTGGAGATGACCTTGGACAAGGTCTATGCAATGAAATTAAGAGACTAAGTTAGTAGTATTGAGTAATACAACATAGAAAATTAAAATAGCAGTTTATTCCCCCAGCCACTGATGCAGTGATCACAAAGAAAAAGGGGGCCGACCATGTACGCCACTCCATCAGCGAGTATAAACTATTATCACCATCCTGAAGTGACGTCTCCCTTGATTTTTTTTCCCTCCAATTTTCCATGCATTTTCAAACCCCCCTAGATCTCATTGTCTACTCCTCCGACCACCGAAGAGGGCTAGCAACAACAGCCTTTGCTCTATTTGTCACAGTTGCAGTTCCCAGATTCTTCCTGCGAAGCTCACCATTATCCCGCAGAGCACCGCCACTATGCTTCTTGTTGGAGATCTGGATCTGCTGCATGAGTTCAGGGGTAATCATGGTAGGCTTGCGTGGCTTGCGGCTCTTTGAGGGCTTAGAAGCAATAGTGGTGTCAGTGCTGCTTGGGGCAACGGATGCCTGGGAGGGTTCCTGGGGACCATTCTTGGATGCGGTGTTCTCAGGAACACTTGAGAGGGTTTGGTGGGTAGACTCGGATGCAGTGACTGGGTTGGACTTTGGGGGCACAGCTGAAGACACGTTGCTGTGTAGAACGCACATTCTGAACTCATCTGCATTGAACCGGGTGGACTCTGTTTTATCGTCGGTGCTGCTGCTTTGAGGCGTGCTGGGTACTGAAGGCACGTCGCTGGCTTTGCTTTTCAAGGAGTCTGTGTCGGCTTGTCGGTTCTTGGTGGCGTACTTGAGGACGTGGAGTAACCGTCGGATAGAAGAAGTACTCTTGTGACTCCTGGAGTCCAAGACTGTAGGTTCGCCCTTGTTGCCCATAGCGATGCTAGTTATGGTGTTGTTTGCAGGCTATTGTTAGAGTTAGTAATGGTTCAATGAATGTTGGAGACCTGGCCATTTTTCTTTCACGTACTGGAATTCGATTCTTTACTTTGTGTACTTGAAGAGGTCTGTCACTTTGAGAATGAGAGAGCTGCAGGATGTGGTTTTTAGCATATAAAGGAAATATATAGAGGAGAAAGTGGGCAGAGAACCCCAAAACATCACACCAAAATCTGCCAAACTGCTGTAAGCAAGACGTTCATACCACAGAAAGAAGCTGTGATGTCAACGGAAACGTAACCATGATATGAACGTGCGTGACTAAGCGGCTATTATGATAGGGCCAGCATTTTGTTGGTGCCAGAGGATCATGCAGATTGCAAACATACCGGTCCTCCAAGACCAGTTTGCTAGTTGTCCTTGAAAATTTGTGAATGGCGTATGAGAAGAAAAGCAATAGAGCCACAAGACATTCCATGGTTCTCGCGGAGGAGTTATTCCAGTACACACATGATTGGTCGGTGGAGCGGGTGCAAGGCGGAGCGGAGATCGCTACCGCAACTATCGTCCAGTCATGCTGATCTTGAGTGTGCAATGTTGAACGGTACAAGAGATTCCGCATACGGTGTGCAAGTGGGATACGTGAACGGACAGTCTTGAGCACAGTGCGATTCAAAATGGCGAAAAAGTGGTATTTCCCGAATGATTCCTGTAGCGCCAACCCAATGCATACACGTCTTTTACACCAATATACAGGCAGATGATTATTTTACTTGCGCGCGTCCATGGCCTGCTGAAGGGCTTGGGTGGTAGGCTGAGCGGATCTGTCTAGCGGCTTGTCTGGCACAATGACATCCTCGAACTCGTCCTGGGAGATGGCATTGATGGTGTAGGTGTCTGAAAAAGGTGGGTCAGTACACCAATTAGAGAGGCAGGGAGAGAATGCGCACATATGCCAATGACAAGCGAGCAGATTGCGAAGCCGGTGATGGTGTTCTTGATCAGGTAGGGCGCGCGGGCTCGCAGCAGGGCGGGCGAGGCGCGCATGCGGTCATCGTAGTAGGTTGAGCGGAATGGCTTGCTGTTGGGGCCAATGTTAGCATGCGCGGCAGAAACAATATGAATATAGTGCGCAGACTCACTATCCCATGGCGGCGGTGTTGTGAGGCTCCCAGGCGGATTCTGCGGGGAAAGAAATGGTGGTGAGATGATGCATGGGGCTAGGCGGGCGTCTTGGCGGGCAGGGCGCACATCATCGCAGTCGCAGCGTCAACCCTGCGCCACTCACCTCGCGCTCGTAGCTGTAGTCAACACCATCATCACCCCCGTTCCCATCCACATCCACATACCCATCCCCATCCCCCCTTTCCTTCTCTACGCTCTCTACAGCCTCTTTGTAATTGCTAGCATTGTGGGGAATGGGACGCCCTTTGGTCGTACACGTCAGGTCTTTGTCGCGCTCTTAGTTTGACTGTTGCGTCGCGCGCGTGAGCAAGCCTCACGACTCCTACAACTCCTACTCCTACTCTTCACTACAAAGCGCGCCGCCAGTGTGTTGCCACCACCATCACCATGACTTCGCAAACGATACAGCAGATGGAGTCGGCCCGGTCGCTCGCGTTAGGCGACGGTAGATACTATCCTACCATTATACCGGGTGTGCTCCCTATCATCGGTTACAGTGAAGACCAGAGCATCGAGATACAGCGCTGGGGTGCCGAGTTTTTGGCAGAGGCCTTTGCATCGCCAGCATGGCCCCAGGAGGCCAAGCAGAGCAGCGCGCCCTCGGTGCTGGCTACCCTCAAGGCCTACCTGGAGAATGTCGATGACAAGAGCGTCATCAAGAGTGCCATCCAGGCGGCCGCGAGCGTGTACCCGCTCGTATACAAACATACGTAAGTAAACCCCCTCCCTCGCATCAGATAGAGCCCCTCGCATGTCAAACATGCCTTGCGCATTCTTGAGGTCCCTTTATGCTCGCATGCTCCTTGACTGTCTTCATGCGAACACGCTCTTATTCTTGCATGTGCCCAGTGTCTCCGACCCCAGCGATTCGCAAAATTGGGGCCTCATGTTTGGCATCAAAGCAAACATTTTGCGACGAATGGACTCGGCCGCCCCTGGCGTGCGTATATGCTGCGTCAAGTTCCTCCAACAAGTCGTCCTGGTACAGACACCAGGCGTTGCAGACCCTAGGGTAGATACTCCTCCAACCCTCCGACGTAGAAACACAAAATCTCATGTCTCGCAGCGCGCCGATCACAACGATATTTCCCTCTCCATTGTGCCCCGCGACCACCCGCTTATACCGTATGCGAGCCTCGAGGCTGAAGGACATGGATTACTGGATAGGCTGCTGGATATCATACATGGGGATCACAGGTTAGATAGACAGTCACAGGCTGCCGACATGCATCTAACACAGACCAGTGACGGATTGCTCGTGACTGCCACCTTGAACAGCTTGGGCATGCTGATCCATCGCCGACCAAATGCTGCAAATAAAATCTTGAACAGTGTCTTCAACTTCAATCCCTTGAAGCTTGCCAATTCGCCAATGACGCCTAAGAACAAGGTCATTATCAAGTCGATTGAGCGTACAACAAGGGCACTGCTCGTCAACATTATGAAGAGGTATGTCAACCTCAGGATGTCACGCCATCTCAAGTACTTACCCTTACAGGAACCCCGAGAACCCAATCAATGGACGCATACAACAGTTCCTGGAACGCATGCATCGTGCCCGTGTGGAATTCTTCGAGGAATCTAATCGTAAGCGACCAGCACCCGCTGAGCCGACCGATGGCCTTGATCACGCCAAGAGACAACGACTTGTGGCTGAGCCCCCCAGTCGTACACCCTCTGTTCAGCCTTTGCCGCCTGGTCCAATAAGTTGGCGACAATTATATACGCTCAACTCTGAGGGCAGCACTGCAAACTTTGATGTGCAAAATTTCAAAGATCCTGAGCAACTAGTCAGGATTGTAGTGCCTGTCCTGCAGTCAGTCAACCCACAAAAGCTTGAACAAGCAATCAATGTATGTGGTGGTTTTTGTTTGAGCATACTCTCTGTCAACACATAGCACACTAACATGCATCTAGGCCGTCCGCGCTCGGTATCAGACACTGCGCCAGAATGCTGCGAACCAGCCTATTCAGCCACCAAGCGCTCCTGCTGCAGAAGACGAAGAGGAATACGAGCCCGACTTTGAACCAGAAGATGCGGAACAAATCATGAACAAGCTTGACGGCATCCCATCAAATCCCTTTCCAACCCAACAAGGCCCATCCACTGCTCTAGCACCCTTCAAGCTGCCCGAAGCACCTCCATTATCCGAACAGGATGTCCAGAAGTACGGTGACATGACCGTACATCGCGCCTTCGGCATGCTGAGCAGTGTAGATGAGACACAAAAGAGCAAGGCCACAAAGGGTGGTTTCAACCGTCTAGCAGCAACAGACTACAGCCGCGACGCCTGGGTCACCATCCTCTCCCGCCTCGCCACACGCGCAAGCGCCGGTCTCGACGACCCCATCGATGGCATCAAAGACGAGTACGCCGTGAAAAGCACCACCCGTAGCAGCAGCAACCCCAAAATCAGCGACTCCATCCGCGACTCCCTCTACCAATACATCCTCTACGACTGGAAACGCCGCATCGACGTCGCAATCTCCTGGCTCAACGAGGAATGGTACAACGACATGATCCTCACCCAATCCGCCGAGTCCCCTTTACCAAACGGTACTGTAAACGGCATTTCGCCCTCCAAACCGCCGCGCGGAAACTACCACCGCTGCGCCCTCCGCCTCATCGACGGTATTCTGCCCTACATCGAGCACACGGATAAAATCCTTCTGCGTTTCCTCTCCGAAATCCCCTCAATAGACTACACCCTCCTTGTTCGCCTCAAGAAAATGGCAGAGGACCCAGAGCGCATCGATCTCGCATGTAACGCTCTACACTACCTGTACATGTTTCGGCCCCCAGTCCGCAAGATCGTCGTTGATGTGCTCGCGGAGATGTGGGCGGAGAATGAGAGGGCCAAGCCGAGTGCACGCAAGCTGCTGCTTAGATGGAGGCCCGAGGTCCTGGGTAGTGAGATGGCGGGGAATAACACGACGCAGTTGGTAGTTAAAAGTGAGGGGGGTGTGGAGAGTGCTGCGGGTAAAGTGGAAGTCGGGGCTGCATCGTGAAACATGTTGGCTCTCCTACTAGCTATCTTCTTTTTTTTTCTCACATTCTTGCATGGGGAGGATGTGCCGTTACCTCCTTTCCGCCTTTTTTTTTCCACGGTGTTCTTTACTCACCAGTTGTATATCTATTCCCCTTCCCCACAAACCCCCCCAGATTACAAGCCGTTTTGCCACATGTGCAAGCGCTAAAGAGGGCACAGCACTCGAGAGCGTTTCTCCAAGGTTGGAACAAAGGGGGCATATGCAGTTTTTGTAGATGATGAAAAGGGCTTACATGTACAACAAATATGAATGCAAGGCAAAGCAGATCAAATTTAGATCAAATGAGATTGAACGCCATCCTCCTTTTCTTTTTCCATTTCTCCATCTTTTGATCCAAGTGTTCTACTATGAAATAACTGGAATCTTCATTGAGTGCACTTGTGCTTTCTCATCATACACACCTCTCCATCACACACACACACACACACACAGACATCCACCTACTCAATCTTCATCTTCTCAAACTGCGCAATACTCGCCTCCCAGTTCTTCGCCTCCAACTCGGCAGCCTTGAGCTTCTCCCTCTCCTGCTCCTTGACCACATCGCTGACCTTCTCCTCCCAGTCGTTGTCCATAATCTTCTTTTGGCGCGTAATCGTCTCGTTGGCTTTCGTGAGGCGATCCTGGGCCTTTGTGATTTCCTTGTCGAGCTCAATGCGGCCCTTGACGTCGAGGTACGCGGTCGCTGATGTGCCGATTGTGTACACGGCACAGCCAGAGGGCGCGGTCTCAGAAGGTGACAGAATCTTAATCTCGGATACGGTCTTGCCTGCCAGAGATCGGATTGAGGGGAGAGATGTTGGAGAAGAGAGGATAGAGTGTGTGCTATCGTCGAGGGCTTGGATATATGTGGATGCATTATCCTTGATGCCGTACTCTGCGGTCATAGAACGAAGGCCCTTCGCGCTGTCTACGAGAAGCTCGTATTCGGCATTTGCGGTCTCATCTTCCAACTCTTGCGAGTATTGTGGGAAAGGTGCGATGCAGATGGAAGGTGTCTTGTCGCCTTGCCTTCTGGGCAGTCGCTGCCAGAGCTCCTCCGTGAGGAAGGGCATGAATGGGTGAATCATGTTGAGACCACCCTCAATGGCAGTGTAAAGCGTCTGCTTGGCACTTTCCTTTTGCTCTTCGCTTCCCTCGTCGAAGATGGCCTTACTGTTCTCGATATATGTATCGCAGAGGTAGACGTAGAAGTACTTGTAGGCAACCTGGGTGGCAAGACTGAACTCGCGCGCCTCCAGGTGGTCGTTGATCTTCTTGGCAGCGGCATTGAGATTGTGGAGGATATAGCGCTCAGGCAGAGACTCCTTTCCGCTCTTTCCAACCTTCTCCTGCGGTTTGAAGGATTCTCCCAAGCGTCCAATGACATATTTGGTGGCCTGGTAGATCTTGTTACAGAATCTCCTGTATCCGTGAATGACATTGACGTCAAACGAAATGTCCTAGAAAGACGTCAGTATTACATCTGATAAGAAATGACAGGACAAACTTACTCCACCACCAGTTGTGTATCCGACAAGTGCCATACGGAGCGCATCAGCACCACATTCGGGGATACCCTGAGGGAAGGCGGTCTTCTGGTACTTCTCGGCCTTGGTCAACTCCTTGGGATCCAGGTTACCGGCGCGGAGCTGGTCATGGAGCTTCTGAAGGGTGATACCATCCATGATATCTACAGGGTCCACAACGTTACCGAGCGACTTTGACATTTTCCTGCCTTCAGAGTCACGGATAAGAGAGTGGCAGTAGACCTCCTTGAAAGGAACCTTTCCGGTCAAGTAGAGGGATAGGAAAATCATCCTGGCAACCCAGAAGAAGAGAATGTCCCAGCCTGTCTCAAGGACAGAGGTGGGGAAGAGCTTCTCAAGGTCGGCAGTCTGGTTTGGCCAACCCAGAGTGGAGAATGGCCACAGACCAGAGGAGAACCATGTGTCGAGCACGTCCTCGTCTCGCGACAATGTGAATTTCTTTCCGGGGAACTTCTTCTCAGCCTTGGCTCTTGCCTCTTCCTCTGTACGACCAGTAATCCAGAGCTCGTCTTCGTTGCGGTCACCCTCGGTGCCTTCCATTTGGACGAAATAGGCTGGTATTTGGTGGCCCCACCAGAGTTGACGCGACAAGCACCAGTCCTGAACGTTGTTCATCCAGTGCATGTAGATCTTCTCGGAAGTGACTGGCCGAATCTTGATGTCACCCTTCTCGACGGCTTCGATGGCAGGCTTGGCTAGGCTTTCCATCTTCATCCACCATTGTGGCTTCATGATGGGCTCAATGACGTCGCCAGATCTTGAGCAGATGGGCACCTTCATCGGGTTTGGCTCGGTCTTGACGAACAGACCCTCCTTCTTGAGTGCGTCTACAACGGTGTAACGAACATCGAAGCGCTTCTCGCCCTCGAAACGACCGGCATTCTTGTTCATTGTTCCGTTGTCATTCTGTAGATGTTAGTTTTTGTTCTTTTTTTTTCAGGATAAGACATACCAGAATGTTGATGAACTCAAGGTTGTGCTTCTTTCCTAGGTTGAAATCGTTGGGGTCGTGTGCTGGTGTCAGCTTGACGGCTCCAGTACCGAACTCGGGGTCGACATATTCGTCTGCAACAATGGGCATGAGACGGTCGATGAAGGGGTGTTTGGCCTTCTTTCCAACGAGGTGCTTGTAACGGTCGTCCTTAGGGTGGACGGCGATACCCGAGTCACCAAGCATGGTTTCAGGACGTGTGGTAGCAATCTCGATGAATTGGTCGGTACCATCAATAGCGTACTATAGAAGTTATTAGTACAGTTTTCGAGATTAGACTCTGCTCGACATACCTTGAAGTGTGTAAGGACACCGAACTCGACCATTCTCTCGTACCCTGGAACAGACAGCTTGGTCGGGCCAGCCAGATCCTTGTTATCGACTTCAAGAGCACTCAAAGCCGTGTTCAAGGCTGTACACCAGTTGACCAGTCTGTTGCTTCGGTAGATCAGACCGTCTTCGTGGAGGCGAACAAATGTCTCTGTGACTGCTTTTGACAGATTTTCATCCATGGTGAAGGCCTCGCGTGTCCAGTCAAAAGAACCACCCATTCGGCGCAGGGTGTTGGTCAGATGTTGGTGGTATTCTTCCTTCCACTCCATGGTCCTCTCGAGGAACTTTTGGCGACCCAGGTCATATCGGGTCTTGTTCTCCCTTCGCTTTAACATCTTCTCGACAACGGACTGTGTAGCAATACCAGCGTGATCGCAACCAGGAAGATACAGCGTAGTGTAGCCTCTCATCCGGTGCCATCTGATTAAGACATCTTGAAGACTCGTTGCGAGCGCATGTCCACAGTGTAGCTTGCCGGTGACGTTGGGTGGTGGGATGGGAATGACAAAGTGACCAGGGGACTTGACATTGCCATCCTCTGCGAACTGAGGCTTGAAGAAGCCTTGAGCGTCCCACCAAGCATCCCATGCAGATTCAACAACCTTGGGAATGTATGCCTTTGTGTATGGACCGTCCAGGCTCTGAAGACGCTTCTTCTCGCCCTTGGGTGTCTGCTCAACGTACTCGGGCAGTTGCTCCTCCTCTTTGCCCTTCTTCTTCTTCTCCTTTGCCGGAGCATCCTTGGCGGCGCCAGCAGCGGCAGCCTTCTTGGCCTTGAACTTTGCGTCCTTTTCGGCCTTTTTCCTCTCCTTCTCCAGCTCCTTGGCAGTCTTCTCCTTCTTCTCTACGCCCTTTTCGTTCTCGCGACCAGGCGCATGTTGGCCAGTGGCTTCGGTTTCAGCGGCGCCGAGAATGTCTTTTTTGGCTTCTCCGCTCAGCTCGGGTGGCGGGGCGGTGTTGGGCGCCGTTTTATCACCCGTGGTGTTGTGAGAGGACGCATTGAGCGCCATGGTTGGGGTCGAGTAGTGGTGGTGCAGTATGAGCACGCGCCCAGCGTGAGCCGAAAAGTGAGGATGGAGGGCAGTATAGATTCGCGATGGCAACTGTAGTCTGTGCCTGGAGGAATTGGTATGTGTGAGGGATTGTCTGCAAGCAGCGCGCAGTGTAGTGGGCGCGGGGCGGGGCAACATTAACAAAATAGTGACTGGGTGTGAGTCTTCAAAGTCCGGCGTGCGTCACCCCCACATTGAGTCCGAGCGTCTGATCTGACCCCGCCTACTCATCTGGGTGAACTCTCAGGGAACGGTTCAGCCGTTGATGAACTGCCCACGAAAATGCCTTGGCCGTAATAAAATTGACACTGTCAAGTTGTTTGAAGCAATCACTAGTTGAAGTCCACATCATAATACTATATTCATTGATAACATTCGAGAAAGAGGACTCACTCCATTGGACATTTGTACAAGCCCACTAACACCTTGGCTATGCATTATTCTGACCGTCAGCCCTAGAGCGTTGGTCGCAAAAATACGCCTGCGCTGGGCCGTTTCCGTTCTCTCATGGCCTATCCAAGAACAGTACCCCCGTCTTTTGTCCTGCATATATATCACTCCGTTGTTCATGACCCGTGTGCACGCCGGCACGCCTGATAGTCCGCCACGTTCAGAGCGTGACTGCAAGTAGAATGCTCTGATTTGAGTAAAGAGTTGGGCGCCTGTGCTTTTATGCCATTACATAACATCTAATCACGTGAATTGGGTATCTCAATCATGCTGCGGTGCTGTTCTGCTGCGCAGCTTGTCGGACAGGAGCAAAGTAAGGATGCGACATGGCCTCTTGGGCAGTAAGTCGTTCCTGGTACATGGGTTAGGAGGGAAGCGCTGCAAGGCGTAGGTGCTGACTGGGCTTACCTGGTGGTCATATCGTAGCAACTTGTCAAGGAAGTCAATGGCGTCGTTGCTGACAAAGCGCTGGTTCTCGGCATTGATAAACGAGTGCCAGGGCTTCTTGGGATATCGACTGAGTATGTCGTCGTACTGGGCATCCAGTTCAATGTCGTACTTGTCGAGGTAGTCGAAGAGGTCCTCAGTGCCAAGGACCTTTGCAATTTTGACCAGCTGGTCCGAGTTGCTGTTGCCGTGGAAAAAGGGTTCTCGCCTGAAAATCATCGAGGCAAACATAGCGCCCAGCGACCACATGTCGAGCGAGTAGTCGTACTCCTGGAAGTCGACTAGCAGCTCGGGACCCTTGAAGTAACGCGACGCAACGCGGACGTTGTACTCTGTTCCTGCATGGTAGAACTCGGCCAGACCCCAATCAATCAGGCGCAACTAGGCTCGGGTTAGCAGCAGTGCGCGTGCGCCAGTTTACAATGCGCACCTTTCGCTTCTCGTGGTCAATCATGACGTTGTGAGGCTTGACATCGCGGTGCATGATACCCTTGCTGTGGCAGAAGTCGAGGGCCTTGAGCAGCTCGAAGATGTAGAAGCGCACATCAAAGTCCTGGAACTTGGGGTACAGACTGCGGAAGTCGGTGTTGTTGACATATTCGAATATGAGCGAAGGGGTTTTGCTCTATGCGTCGCGTGTTAGCAACAGCAGCAGTAGCGGCAGTGGTAGCCAGGCGCCAAGCCCAGGTCAAAATCGGCACGCACCTGGTTATCGCGCACCACGTCGAGCAGCGAGACAATGTTGGGGCCGCCCGACAGATTTTGCAGAATCTTGATTTCACGCTTGATCTTCTTCTTCTTGACGGGCTTGAGGACCTTGATGACGCATTTCTGGTAGTTGACAACGTTGATGCCCTCAAAGACCTCGGAGTACTTTCCGCGGCCAATCTTGCGGACGACCTCGTAGTTTTCCAGCACGCCCCACGAGATGTTGACCGAGTCGTAGTCCCAGTAGGAGCGGGGCATGTTTGCGTTGACATCGGCATAGACGCGGGCGATGCTCGTGGCGCCGCTCGAGTTGTTGAGCGCCATGGTGGCAGCGAAGGGGGTGTGGGCAGGCGGGGGCGGGGGGTCGCGTGGTGGTGGTGACGGAGGTGGTGGTGTTTGTGCTGGAGTTGGAGTTGGAGTTGGTGCGAGTGGGGGCAGAGGGCGGAGGCTGGCGGGACCACACAGCAACGGCGGCAGGCAGAGGACCAGGGCGAGGCCGGCAGCAGCAGCAAGCACAGCGACGGCGCCCTGTGTCTTTGTCCAGTGCAGCAGCCCAAAGAGGCGGTGACGATGGGCACGGCACTCGTGCTGTGGCTGGGGCTGTGGCTGGGGCGGCCGGGCGTGTGGCGGTGGTGAGGCTGGTGAGGGCTCGCTCGGTGCCGTGTCGACGTCGAGGAGCTGCTGGGGGCGGTAGTGGTGGTGATGGGCGAGATGGTGGTCGCAGTCCTGGCCGAGGGTGGCTTGTGTGTGTGCGTTAGACCAGTTCAGTGCAGTTCCGTTCAGCAAAGCATTCCAGAGCCAAGCTTCGGCACCAAATGCTAGGGGTTTTTTTTTTGATGCGAACTGTTCGCTCCGAGAGGCCAGCCAGCCCGGTGACGATCGTTGCTTTCCGCCGCCTTGGTGGACTTACCTATTTTGCTCTTCCGCAGCCTTACCGCGCTCTCTCCCACGCCCTCTCCCACTCCCACCACTCGTTCTGTGCCCGCCGACGCCATTGAGGAAAATGTTCCACGATCTGCACGTGCCCTGGCCTGGCGCGACACCGGGACTGCAGCGGACAATCGCTTTTCTCGACGAATGTGAGCTACCAGGCAACTTTTGGGCGTCGTAGTGATGCAATGCAGCGGGCGCCGGGCTGATGCAATGCAGTAGGATACGATGTCGTTGCTCTCACGCACACATATACTGGGAGACTCCCCACTGATATAGTAGGTACCACCCACGCTGCCGGTCCAGTTGTGGCTTCCACTTTCCAGTTTCACTTGCGCCTGCGCCTGCGACGCCACGCTGATCAATGCCCTTTCACCACCAGACTCCCCCCGTACCCACCAGCCTGCCTTTCCCCGTCCCTGCCCGGATGCGCATCCTGCGCCGCTGTAACATCTTCCTCACTGACTCGGCTTCCAATTTCCGCATCCCCCAGCTGCAGCAGCATTATGACTTGGTTGCTGCCCGGCCCACCGACGAGCGCACCCTGCAGCAGGCATGCCAGAGCCTCGACGTCGATATCATATCCCTCGACCTCACCACCCGCTTCGAAACACACTTCAAGTTTCCTATGCTCGGCACCGCTATAGCACGAGGAATCAAGATTGAGATTTGCTATAGCCAAGGCATACTATCAAACGATCCGGCTGCAAAGCGCAATGTCATTAGCAACGCCGTCCAGCTCATTCGCGTCACCAGAGGCCGCGGTCTGATATTCAGCTCCGAAGCAAACAACGCCCTGGGCATACGAGCACCCAGCGACATCATCAACCTCGCTTCCGTATGGGGGCTCGGCACAGAAAAGGGCAAGGACGGCCTCACCAAGGAGCCACGAAGCGTCGTTGAGTTTGCCCGCCTGAAACGACAGAGCTTCAAAGGCATAGTCGACATTGTCCACGGCGGCGACAAGTCAGCGCAAGAGACAAAAGATAAGGCATCACAAAAGGTAAAAGCAAATAAAAACCAAAACGGCAAGCGGCCAGGCGACACGTTGGACTCCACCCCCACGCACGAGACAAAAGCCGAAAAGCCCATCTCCAAGCGCCAGCAAGCAAAAAACAAAAAGGCAAAAGTCCAGGATGCAGGCCAGGAACAGCAACAGGCTGCATAATCTCAAAAAGTGTTTTACTTTACGGCCAAAAGAAAAGATACCCAAATAGACGCTCGCAAACAGCAAGCAAATAATCACTCTTCTTGTACAAATTATATATTTCACCTTTTTTTTCTCCATAAATTAAAAACTCAACTGTGTCACAGCAAAGTAGGGGGGTCACCCGTACTCAGTGTGCCCCTACTAAACCAATTATATGTATATACATGTACCATAAGAACCAGAACCCCCCCCCCTCACGTACACTTTGGGG